CGCCAACTGATTAAGTGCGATTTGGGCAGCCTGCATGCTATCGCACAGTAAGACGATATCGTCTGCATACTCGAGGTCGAAAAGTCTATCTCCAGGTAGCAGATCTACACCACCTTCACGCACATCCTTCAGAGCTGACTCCAGAATGTCATCGATGGCAAAGTTAAAGAGAAATGGAGAGATTGGGCAACCCTGTCTAACCCCACTGTTGGTTGGGAACAGTGGTGATAGTTGGTTGTATGCCCTCACTCTACCTGAGGTGTTTCTGTATAGGGCTTTCAGATGTTAACAAATTTCTCAGGTACACCTCTCTCTAACAGACAGTTCCAGAGCACAGTTCTGTCCAACGAATCGAAGGCAGCCCTAATATCAAGAAACACAACGATCGTTGGCCTGCAATACGTGTGGCGGTGTTCCAACAACTGACGAAGGGTGAACACATGATCAATGCATCCACGACCTGAACGAAACCCAGCCTGCTCTTCGCGAATCAATCCTTCACGTATTTTGCACAGTCTGCGAAGCAAGACAGCAGCCAATATTTTAGACGCGACTGGTAACAGACTGATACCCCTATGATTGTCACACGAATTACGTCGACCCTTTTTAAAGATGGGGACGATAATGGCTTCGTTCCACATTGATGGTACACTCTCTGTCTCCCACACCTTCCTGAACAACCCAGTTAGAGCCATTGTGAGAGTCTCGCCACCATCTTTAAAAAGAGCCGGGGGTAATTTGTCTGGGCCGGGCGCCTTATGGCGTTTCAGAACTTGGAGTTCCTTACGGACCTCCGCTTCGGTGGGTGGGTCGGTACTAACCGACCAAGGAGCACTCGGGCTAATGATAGTAGACACTGAAGCTGGTGGCCAGCTGAACTGCTTCCCGAAGTGCTCTGCCCAGCGTTCCAGGCGTCTTTTCAGGCTGGTAATTGGAGTGCCATCTGCCTCACAGACCGTCTCGCTGACACCTTGTTTCTTGCTGCCGGTGGCTCGTATGAGTTGGAACAGCTTCCGACTGTTGCCAGATGCAGCAGCTGACTCCATCTCACACGCACGTTCTGACCACCAGGCTTCGCGGTCCTTACGTAAACACTGTCTAATCTTGCGCGTGAGCGCCTTTCGCTGATTGTTGTATTCGCTGCCAGCCGGAATGGACCGGCGTTCATCCATGAGTTGCAAGGAACTCGCAGAAACCCAGTGGTTGTTAGCGGAGCATTCTTTCAAGCCGCAAGCGGCTACACTCGCCTTTTGCATGGCACCTTGCACATGAAGCCAATGTTCATCTATACTACTTGGGGGGTTGCTGGCAAGCATTGTTTTTAACTCATTCTGATATTTCAAAGAAGTAGCAGGTGCTACTAGTTTGCTCACATCAACGCTTAGACGACGGCTTTTACGAACCCCACCAAATCGCAAGACGAACTTGGCACACACTAACGCATGATCGGAGTCCAGGCATGTGCTCCAGAAGGAGCGACAGTCTTGTATGCATCCTCGCCACCGGAAACTGACCGCAATATGATCAATCTGAGTCCAAGCTTGCTTCGCAGAGGGAGGACGCCAGGTAGCGCTACGGCGATGGCTGTGCCGGAAGTTGGTGCTGGCTAGAAATAGGTTGTGATCCGCGCAAAGCTGCAGAAGACGGTCCCCATTATCTGACCTGCGACCATGTAGTCCCCACTGACCACCTAGACGATTCTCCTCTGAGCTTAGACGCCCGACCTGTGCATTCAAGTCCCCAGCCAGCACTACGATATCCCTCCGACCCGCCTGTTTCAAGAGATCGCTCAGTTGGTAGTAAAACTCATCCTTCATTGCATCCGGGCTGCAATCCGTCGGTGCATAGGCAGAGACAACAAATAGACACCGCCTATCTGGCCTACTTACTTTCGTATAACCTTCCAGCCTCACAGCACATAAACGACTGTTAATGGGAATCCAGTCGAGCAGTGCAGCTTCGGCTCTAGCGCTCAGTGCGACACCGACACCAGCTACGCCGGATGCCGACGCCACAGGGTCCCCGGATAAGCGCAGGTGGTACATACTACTAGAACTTCCAGATGGAGAGGATAGTCGAAGCACTTCACTGGGATCTTGAATGCGGGTCTCCGAAATGCAGCAGACATCGATAGCGAGGCTTTCCAAAGTTCTTGCCAACCCTGCCTGTTGTCCGATTTGCATCAGCGTCCGAACATTGTAGGTAGCCAGCTTGAACGCGGCACGCGGTTTCAGGATATCTGTGTTAGATGTCACATTGGGAACAACCATTTTGAGGACTACTCACTAACATCTCGAAACGACACGGATAGGCTGGGAATCTCGACAAAGGCGAAAGGCTGTCGAAGGTTAAGAAGCCAAGATTAGCAAAGGTAAAATACAGGAAACTATGTATAAAAATAGAAGTAAGGTAGGAAGGACATAAGTTATAAGTTATTTGGGGCATCAATGTTACTTGAAATCACTGTTAATAGCGCGCGATCAGTTTCAATAAGATTTTGTTGCTTTATTTCATTCATTGTGCGGCTTACGCCTTACTTTGTGACTCAAGCTGACTGTCAAGGAATTCATGGACTGGTGTTTGACCACCGCTAGCTCTTTTCCAGCCTGACCCTATGTCAGCTAACATTGCCCGTCAGTCGAGGAAGGCAATGGCTAGGCACGTGTAATAGATGTTCTAGCCGTTCCCGATCGTTTCACTTTCACAACTTCATCGGTTGACTTCTCATCCTTACTTGAACTTATTATCTTCACGTCAGGTTCCATAACTATAACTCACTAACAATTATTCAGGAAAAAAAATGAAATATCTTTTCGCAACTGATTGTAAACGTAATCATTCATTGTTTAACCTATTTTAAGTGACTTTATGCAGATATATCTAAAGGATCATGATACTAGGTTGTATTTCTTGAAGGTATTAACTTTTGACTTCATTAGTCTTGACGTCCCTATACTTGTGTTTTCCACTGAAAGAAACGCTTATCACTCGAACACCTGTAGTCATGTAGGTTCTTTCTTTAACTTCTCCGGTGAAATGTCTAAATTCAAGGGGTATGCATAAAGCATGACCACTATCTGATCGTTGATTTTTTTTTGTGTGCGTACAACTTTGTCACTAACGCCTAGTTTTCTTTTCGGTTTCCAACTTCATATCCTGTATGTCACTCATCATGGAGTTTAGAATATATCCATTCATCGTTAAGCTGACTGATGATAAATCCTTTCTGTCTGTCACTTTTCACCTTTCCTGTATAACAAAAAAATGTCTGAAAAAGAAAGTGAATTTGAAGACAAGAGAAAGTGGAAAAGGAAGTATACTTATGTAATAATAATAATAACAATAATAATTAGCGTGAAATTCTCTTTTTACAAGAGATAACTTTGAAAGAAAAAAGAGCACTGGAAAACAAAGTTTAGATGGGTGGGGGGGGAGGGAATTGATAGGAGACAAAGTCAAGCAGACAGCAGAGTATGTATATATACATTTATATGTTTTCCAGAAATGGTGTCATTTATTTATCTCATCGGAGTTTTCTTCTGTCTAGTCTGGTTGTCTTTGTATGTGTGTGCGTTTTCCCCCCGTGTTTTTACATATCGTGTATGGATGTGTGTGAGTAAAGCAAGTACTGTCAATGTCAAGAGTACTTGCTTTTTCTCCTGCACAAGAATTACAAAAATATATGTATGTATTCTTCAATCATTTCACATTTTGAAGCTCTCAGTTTATTTATTAAATAGAACGAAGTATGGATTTCACTGTCTCTGGTATTGGTTGGGGAAAAATTTGTGTAAATTGCAGTATATACTACTGAATGATTTGAGTATTTTTCCCAAATTATTCACACTAATCAGTTCGGAAGTAATTTCAAACACTATTAACAAGGTATTTACTAGTTTTTCTGATTGATGAGTATGGCTTGATTCATCTCGGAGAGAATGATTCGTGCTCAAGCCACTTGGATTCTTCGGAGTTGTTTTCTACGGATGGATGGATGGATAACGACCGGTTAACGATGATCATATTTCGTTTTTATTGTATACACTTTAGACCTTTACTTCTATGGTATTCGTTAATTATTACCGCTTATTCCAGCGGCATTATTGTGTAACACTTCCTTTTTTTAAATGTTTTCAGTCTGTCAACTTTGGTATAGGCTAAAGGACATGGTGGACCCAATTAAACAAAATAATAGTAATATTTACAAAATACCTTGCAATGACTGTGAGCTTAGTCAACTACATAGGTCAAACTAGTAGATCAGGATTAGTGAGATTATCAGGACATGAGAATTTAGCTAGGGTTAGAATGGTTGATCTCACGAAGATAGGTAATTTAGAAAATAAACTCAGCTATAGCACTGCATGCATTAACACACAACCGCACAACGGTGTGAGTGGGACAGAGTCAAAATTCTAAAGAGTAATATAGGGGTAGGTGGAGAGAGCGATTGACTACTGAATCCTGTCTGGTTCATCCAGTCTACACCCAACACATGCAACAGAAATGACTCAATGCAAATACCAGAAATATGGAAGATATTATTACCGCCGGTCAAATTAGAAGAGGATAATAAATAATGTGAAAATGTATTCAGTTCACATTATAACATTCTAATAAATTACTTATTTATTTTACTATAAAAACATCTTATTTCCCATCTGATTGTATATGATTGATAATGCTAATATTATTTCTAAATGTACTTTATCTTATTTTTGATTTTATTCAAACCTCTAATCAATTCCATCACTTATGTATATAAACGAAGCAAAAAAGTTGTATGAGTACCTTGATATGATTATGATTGGCAATAATTTGTTCTCGAAACGTGATCATCAGTAAATATTACTGTTTAACACTGTGTGATTTTATCAAAATACATTTTACCCACAATGGAGTTATACTCTACCATCAGAGTGCTCAAGTTTTATCCTTATATGAAAAAATTCTCCTTCATATAAAAATTTCTTTCCCTCTCCCGCATTTGTTTTTTTTAGCAACTGTTGCAATTGTAAAAAGTCGTGATATGCATTGGGCTTTGTTAGCTGAACGTGATCATCCAAATGTGAATTTATCTTCATTACGTATGCTTTTAGTTGCTGACGGTTCAAATCCATGTAAGTCTGATTATATACAATGTAGACATAATTACATTTTTAGGAAGAAATTCTTTTTTTCGATAGATTTCACTTCCTTGTTTCTATTGTTACTTAAGGAAATGTCATTTTCATGCATAAGTAATTGATTTTCAATTAAAGTTAGGTTTATTCTTATTCCATAACTAATAATTATTATTACTTAGGGCTTTAGCAATACATCTTCATTTTACTTTTTTCTCTGCAGTCTTTTTTAAGCTTGCTCCATGATTACCTATAGACTCTCATTTCATCGTTTCGTAATCTCCTCCATTTCACCTTTAGTCCCACAGCTGACTCGTTTTCCCCTCGGCTCCCTACTTGAGGGTTTGTCTTGCACTTGGTGTCACTCAACAGTCTCGCCAACGTATATCGAATCCATGGCCATTCCATTCTGCATATTCATTCAGCGATAGGTTCTTGATTCGGTTCGTCGCCTGAATTCCTTGTTATTCATCGTCTTTTACCAGCTATCTGATCTTCACTTTGAAGCAATAGCATCCGTGTAATGAAAGTCTCCAACTTGTTGGAATTGCTTTTTGTGACGCGTCATGTTTCCGAACTGCGTAGAAGCACTGAATGACTTGGCACTAGTGTTAGAAATTCCTATCTTATTCCGTCCGACAAAAGCATTAGGTCTTTGGAAAAATTCAGTGTACTGCCTACCCTTGACACCTTTATCCCCTTCACCATACTGTTTTGCATAGTCGACTAGTTTACTAACTGGTCCCGAGCCCGGAGAAAATGGAGCCCATTCCTCTACCTCGAGATATCAACCTAATCGTTACAGAAACTTTGAAGATCAGAAATAAAATAAAAATAAATTATAAGTTATTTAGATCCCCTATCATTCCATTTGGCTGTTGTATTCTCTAAACTGCATGGTTTAATTGTGAAGCTTGCATTCTCCTTCTATACAACCTTTTCAACGTTAGCTTGGATTTGAAGTGAGCTTTTTGAATTCTCCAGAAATACCAATTTATAAATACGCGATCTGGCGATCTTGACTATGATGAGTTGTTATCAGTGGTTTTCAGGTCTTTGTTTTCCTTTGCACTGGATATTAATAATTTCTCTGATTTGTTATTTGATCTTTTTGTTAGCCACGTGACTTGTTTACAATTGGTGGATGGTGGCTAGCAGTGGAATCCAGGATGCGCATTTCGTCCCATTTGGGACTCGTCAGCTGGATGTACCTGCATTTCTCAGTGAGTGATGATGTTCCCACCGAGGCTCGAACCCAGTACCCATAGTTTCAAACGCCAAAGCGTTATCCACTAGACCACTTGGCCACGAGAGCCACCTCTTGTGCAACGGGTCATATTAATTATTGAATTGAATTTTTGATTTTCCCGTCGATTGATTGGACCGAAGTGCTCGGTCTCAGTTGACATGTCGGCTTCTTGTGCAGATGCTTCGACGATGTCTGGGTATTTAGTTAGTATACAATTGGTGGATGGTGGCTAGCAGTGGAATCCAGGAGGTGGCTCTCGTGGCCCAAGTGGTCTAGTGTATAACGCTTTGGCGTTTGAAACTATGGGTACTTGGTTCGAGCCTCGGTGGGAACATCATCACTCACTGAGAAATGCAGGTACATCCAGATGACGAGTCCCAAATGGACGAAATGCGCATCCTGGATTCCACTGCTAGCCACCATCCACCAATTGTATACTAACTAAATGCCCGGACATTGTCGAAGCATCTGCACAAGAAGCCGACATGTCAACCTGAGACCGAGCACTTCGGTCCAATCAATCGACGGAAAATCAAAAATTCAATTCAACACGTGACTTGTTCTTTATTGCCTCATAAATCTGATCCTTGTCAACAATCTTATAGGTTCAAAATGTGATATCTTAATACCAGGTCAGCTTAGTATCTCTACTGTTTTAAATTTTCACATTTCCATACAATTTATCCTACGGATGGTGGTGATTGGTCCTATCTTATGTTGTTTAAATCTATCGATCTGTATTGATATTATGTGTGACTTATTTTCCAAATTGTCTTAGTATTGATTAGCATTGATTTCACAAAATGATTGTTTCTTACAGTTTTTTTGGTTGGTTTCTTGCTGATAGTTTGATTTGATTTCCGGCATCTTTCAATGAAGCTCTTGAAAGGTGTCAATTTCTCTTCAAGACGGTCAAGTGGAATTCCTCAATAGACGAGGATGTGCGAAGTTTTTGAAGTCACGCACTATGTTGGCATGATTAAATAAATACCAGTGTGTACGATGTTTTTTATCATTCAATTATCTACTTTCTCACCGAAGCGCTTGTGTACTGTGTATGTGTGTGTATGAGGAGGGGAGGTGGTCGTCTCTAAGTAATATCCTATCCTTTTAAACTATCTCTTCTTATACATTTATTCTCTCTGCAAAGTATAAACGCGACCAAATTACCATTAGGTGTCACTATCTTAAAGGGTTAATGCGTTTGTTATATTGCAGTTGTTTGCAGAGATGATTGATTGTTTTGGTCTATTTGATGGATATGAATGATATTCACATATGTCTACTGATTATCGATCAGTTGGATAGCTTTAACTTTTCTGTTTATTATTGTTATTGTAGGTGATGTTTGACTCATAATGGAATTTGACCAAATTTCAATATGTAGTCTCTTTGTCTTTATTTATTGTATAATACTGATTAATGAATTTATGTGAAATAGTCAAAAAATTACAAATATTTAATAGGGTTTTTGTGAGAAGGGTTAATATGAATTTATAGGATCAATAAAAACTTAGGATATGGATGCATTGGATTGCTGATTCACTCATTCTACTTTTTAACACTATTGTATGCACTGTTATATTATGCGTCGTGGAGCCTAGGACATTGATATCTGTCTATAAACGATCTGCTCATCATCAGACAGCTTTTTGTCTTCTGAAATCATTGATTCCGCTTCCTTTTCATTTTGTGTCTAAGACTTGTTCATCATCATCATCATCGGTAAGGATACCAGTGTTTCGTTGATTCGACAGAGATGAAAATATGCGGTAGCATCGTGATAGCATTCCTGTGACTTGACAATTCTGAATTATATCACTTTTGAGTTTTTATGGTACACATCGGTAGGATTAAAACTTGTTCAGTGTTGAAAAACGGGGTACTTCGAGCTGAATAACTTTCCAGTGTTAACACATTGTCGAAACGGTACTTAAAAACGTGATCTGAGTGAAATTCGCATCTTAGTTGATGAATAGCGTTGATATTTCAACTATGATAATGACAGGTGCCGTCAGCCGGCGACTTGCATGCGTTCAAGGTCATTGGAGAGTTCACCCTCCTGGGGCGCTATTGTTGAACTTCATCACTTTTAAATATGAATGATAACAAATAGTGAATACATATGGGCCTTTGTGAATGATTTTGAGCTATGTTACCAATAATCTCCAATCATTTATTATGTATACCCCGAAATCCATTAAAGGAGTGTATTATTGACTTAAGTACCCGACTTATAGACTAATGATCCCGAATTAGAATTCTGTTCCGTCTACTTTAGTTTGGACAACTGGGCAATATCATCGGCGCTCACGCAATAAATGTGGCTCATGACCTTGTCCACAGAAATCTATTCGTGTTTATTTCGTTTAAAAACAAAAGCACCTCGAGGTTCCTGTGCCTTGTCGTTAAGTGTATTTCATGGTCAAAATGAACTTATCTTTACACTTGTATTCATTTTCTTCGTCACTTTTTTTTCCACAGGGTCTTTGAATTCATGTGACTCTTTTGTACAAAAGTTTCGACCACGTGGATTTTGTCCTGAAGCTATCTGTCCATCTGCTGGAAGTTCAGAAACTCTTACACTTTGTCTACGTCGACCACCACATCAAAGTAATTCAGCAATGAATTCAGTGAATGGGAAGATTGGTACCAACTTACGATCTGATTCACTGACGTCTACTGCGCCTAGTTCTGTGAGAGGTGTTATCTCAATCCATAGTCTTACCTATGGTGTTGTACGTGTTGATACTGAGGATTCGTTAACATCACTCACCTTGCAAGATTGTGGACAAGTCCTACCTGGAGGTGAGAATAAGTATTGTTTATTGAACTGAATTTTTTGTGAATCTAATCAATATTTATTTCATGAGTTTTATGCTTTGTACAATAACGTGTGTGTGTCTTTTGCTTTTTTTTATAGCTTCAGCAGTTGTTATACGCCTGGGTCCTAAACCAATATTATGTCAGACAGATGAAGTTGGTGAAATATGTTTATCTGCAGATTATACCGGTTCTGGATATTGGGGTCTTCGTGGACAGACTGATGCACATTTTCATGTAGAACCTATACATGAAGATGGTACTCCTGTGTGTTCATCTACCGGTGGGAAAAAGTATACCCGGTCTGGTTTTCTTGGATTCCCCGGTCCAGCATCATCGGTACGTTATTTCCTTTTGGTCTTCCTTTCGTCAATTTTTTTCTTTTATACAATGTTTGTTGATTTAAACATTCGGCATTCAAGTATTGGTTTGTAGGGATTCGACTGATTAGTTAAAGGATTTAATTATCAGTGGATATAGGTTAGAGGAGCAATGGAAAACATGGCAGTACTGGACAGTTGTTTTGTCCCAGTTTGGGACTCCTCACTAGTAACCACCCACAGGGATTCGAACCCAGGACCTTCTGGCTACAAGGCTAACTCGTAAATCATTAGGCCACTGGGCCCGATCCAATGGCCAGCCCTTGAACTTCATCTTCTGCCAATTCATAACATAGTGCGACCACTAGCGAATGTCATCGGTGGCGAGTGTTTGTTCTCATATCCGACCTGCTACACCCTGCTGGTCACGACTTCCCACTGGAAACAGCTGTCAACTACTCCCAGGATTTCTCTAACTTATGTCGACCCACGATGAAATCCTCTAACCAGTTAAATACTAGGTGTTACCTCATCAGAAGTACAATCTGTTAAAATAGAGTTTATTAAGTGTCTTCACTTTTCGGGGCTCCTTTTGCTTCCCATTCTTTTTGAAGACCAAACCAAAACTAGGAATCATTCTATAAAGTTTCTGACACTCGGTTAGAGGTACTCAGAGAAGCATAGGCTTCGCATTTAGAGTCTTTGGGATGCTAAGAGGGAATAACTGGAGACTATTGGTGATGTGTATTGAAACCGTTGCTAATGTCGCAGATGTATTCATCGTTTACAATTTCCCAGATTTACTAAATCCTCATGTCTCCCCATGTTATTTATTCTTTCTTCCGTACATCTGTGCTTAACATATTGATTTGGAGTTTCTGTTTTATCTCTTATCTCTACCTTTGTGTGCTATGTGACACGCGGCAACTTGAACTGGTGCACTTCTGTGCGAAATTCTAATGAGAATTCAGTCAGTTTCACTCCTACCACGTCTTTCGTCGTTGTCTATCGCGTGACATTGATAAAATAGATAAAATAATCACTCTGGATCGACCAATTTAGTGAATAATTTGTACGGAAGTTTTAGAGAACATCACATAGTTGTGGCGTAGAATGCCAAATGTTTTTAGCGGTTGTGATGAGCTATCGATTGAGTAGCGAAGGGGAAGGGAAAATCGAAACTTAGATTTGTTTAGCTCTTTTTTTGAAAAACATATTTCTTCTCCTGTGATCTCTGCTTACTCGCTTGGCTAAAGTTGCTATGGAAAAATCAATCATAGTATAGATTTACATCTGAGGTGAAAATAAAAGTAAATCGAACCGTAACTCGATAGTTACTTGCAATTCGATGTGGTTGACAATGATCTAAACCGCCTGGCTGTTCTAAACTTGGTGGGTAGAGTGGTGTTCAAGCGTGTGACCCACTGGTTAGAAGTCTACTGCCCAGACAATGAACCACAGCTCCGCACATATTCATCTGGAGAGAGAGAGAGAGACAGGTAAAGAGAAAATAGTCAGTTATTGAAAAAGTATGATATTGATCAGAAGACTGTAGTGCGAGTAGAGGTGTATACATGTTTGTAGTGTAAATATTTCCCAATTTTCTACATATTCACACACACAGGTGTGATCGAAAGTTGCGATATATATTTAAACAGAATCGACTGATGCTTAGCCTGTCTTTTCGAATAAAAAAGAAACAGCATTGTATATTCTGGTTGGATTGAAGAAACATATTTTACTTTCCCCACATTTTGATACACCTAACGAAATACTGCTGCCTTCTTAGGTTTTATTATTATTGTCTGGTTTATTGGTGGTGGTAATGAGACTATGTGAGGCAGTCACAGGATGGTACACTGGTAATGATGTAGTAGGTGATGAATGGAAATGAAATACAAATCTAAGACCAGCAACCGAAGTGTCAGTTCAGCACCCTTCCATTTGAGCTGCAGGACTTCACCTGCATTTCAGACCGTCATTTCACTAGTCCCCCAACTAGATCTTTTTTTTGTTAATCTGAAGCCTACTGAATTCGAAGGTTGAAGAGTGGGTTGTTGTTGCTAGATGTTGAGGCTATATGAGTCATTTGATGAATTGTCTATTGAATAATGAATGAATTAAGTATGATTCTAATTCAGTGCGTGGTGGTGGTGGTGCTTTCGTGATTATGTCAAAGTGTTTTTTTTTCATATTGAACACAGTTCTCTTCTCATGTACACCTCGTTTTTTGTTTTGAATCTAGGGTGGTTTAATATTTATCTCCGGTTGTATTGATGGTTTAATGACAATTGCTAGCAGACGTCATAATGCTGATGATATAATTGCCACGGTCTTGGCTGTTCAACCGACAAAAATTATATACAGAGGACGGTATGTATGTTTTTAATAAAATAATCGAAGGTTTATATGTATTCTTGTGTGTAAGTGAGTGAGAACTTAGTTACCCGGAACATATTTTTTGTATACACCAGGTTATGAAGCAAACGAATTACGTGAGAGCTGATGATATAACCCAGTAGTTGCTTAAGCTGAACTAGGTGAAGAAGGATTTGAACTCAGGTCTGGTTAGATGCTGTTTGACCACTGAAGTCAGTATTTCAAATCCTGTATGTACCTGGAGTCGAATTTATTCTACTATCAGTTCTGATTTGATATTAACCTCAGATCACAGTTTGAGTCTTTGTTTGGATTGAATTTATTACTTGTTATATCTGAGCAACATCGTTCGAGCTACATGTTGAAGATAAATGTTCATTTTTTTCTAAAATCAGTATTGAGATGTATAAGGTTTTGATGTTGTTGTATTCTCTGAGTTGGATGGTGTGTTTGCGAAGCTTTCATTGCCCTACCTGCGACATTGTGCCGTCTTCAATGCATACTTCAATTCGAAGTGGGCTTTTAGATTTTTCTGTGAGTTTATTAGTCATCTCCCCTGGTGGCCTCGAACGTGATTGGTTGGTTGTTTTTGTGTTTTTTCACACCCTCTAGGCTATACTTGTATTGGAACTGACTGTTTCCTTGACCCTGAAGTTTGACCATTTGTGTGTGAGATTTCCTTCTTATCGATTGGTAAATCTTGTCTATGTTGATGTGTCTATTGATTGACGACTGACTAAAATACCAGACAACCTGAAAGTTCTTTTGAACGTTGTCCCAGTCGAATTCATGTTCGTGGTTACCTGTATGCAGTAATATGAGGGAGTGGATGCCATGTCTTCTGACGGCTAGTTTATTTTCATGGATACGAAGACGAGAGGGATGTCCACTTTGGCCAATGCAGTGTTTTCCACAGTCATTGCGACTTGTTTTAAAGTATGCACTGAGATGTAGTGCAATAAAAGCTTCGCAAATCAACCATCCAGCTCCGAGAATACAACTAAATCAAAATCATCCACCTGAGCTTCAAATCGTCTCCATCATATCTAGATGTATAAAGTATTTAGTGTTAGGCACAGGATACGAATTTTCAACACTGTTATCGAGTCACTGCTTCGTTGTGGTTCAGTGACTTTATTTGTGTATGTCTGTGCGCCACTAAAAGCACTTATAACAGGTTAGAGCAAATGTTTATCAATACCTACCTTCTATCTGGGTTGTTATTGAAGTTCAGAGTGCCAGTCCAAGGGACTCAGGCGGTGCAATGAACCAGACAAGAAGCTATTGCCTAACAAATATAGAGAAGGAAATGTCAATGGGTTGGACAGACACTAGGAAACATTGAAGTTATATTATATGCCAGGTCCTTGTTTACAGTGTGAATGAGAAGTGACAAGTTTAATGTGGGTCTGAAAAACATGGGAAGGCGGAGGTCATGTAAAAAGACTATGAAAGCTTGCCAGTAGTTGTGGAGGCAGTTGGAAGTGATAACGCAGAACAGAGTGAAATATAGACATGCTGCTGAAGTCCTATTTCCTACCGGGAACGCGACGAAAGACTAATAATATTGACAAGTTGCTACTTCTTCTGGTCTGTCTGGATTCAACATAGAACTTGGCACCGAAGTGCAGCAGTTCGAGTTGCCACCTTCCAAATATCCCACAGAGGTAGACAAGAAGATGAGTGAAGAGAATTAATAGAGTTTGACAAGTATAAGAGTGAAACAGAATGGGTAATGGTAGAAAGGAATATGAAAGATTACAGAGACTGAATACATGTGCGCTGGCCATTGACAACGATTTTGAGCCATGTCACCTATTGTCTCCAGCCATTGATTCCTAGAGTCCCGAGGGCCCCAACCCGGGAGTCTGCATCTCCCTACCTGATTCAGTTTAACTGTCAAGGATTTCATGGATTGATGAGGCCATGTTTTTGTTTGGCCACCACTGGCTCTTTTCCAACCTGAACCTATATCAGCTAGCAGTGCCCGTCGGGGAGGCGGTGGTTAGGCATGCGCAGCACGTGACCTAGCCATCTAACCATCTTCTTCTGGTGGGAAGGATTCGTGTTGTTTTGATGTGAACTCCTGTAATACTAGAGTTGTCAGTTATGAGAAAGTGACACCACTAATTTCTCTCATTGTTATCAAGGATCAAGTAGTTCTAGCAATCAAGTAGTGCCCTATTTTCATATAGTCTATGGCTTATGAACAATATTTGACAGATGGTATGATCCTTTATGTCGATAGTAGTGTCAGTATAGACGTATGCTTATGAATTTAGATAATAATAATAATAGTAATAATCTCGTTAGTTGTTTCGATGACCAATTTTCTTCCTCTTGTCATTACTTTTATCACTATCTATGACATTTCTAATAAGATTATGTAATAAAAGGAAAAAATGTTGCACTATTTCTTTCTCAGGATTGCTGTTTTCTCAGTGGATCTACTCAAAGATGAACGTTTAGTCATAGTAGCTGAATTAAGACAAGGTTATTCAGATGAAGCTGCTTTCACATGGATGTCGCTTGTCCTACAAGCTGTTGACAGTATCCATCAAGTCAGTGTTTATTGTTTAGCTTTAGTACATCAGAATACATTGCCAAAAGTGAGTTTTCCTTCTTAATATTATACTCACTGTTTCAATGACTTCTCTATTAAAATTTCATCATTGTATGTTAACTCTTTGGTTGTGCTTCGACGTTCTCATAGAATATATTCGGTGAGAAAAGAAAGTTTATTATTATTATATTATTGTTCTCTTGCTTTCCTTATGGTATGTGCTTTGCGCCGTCTAAGTGCAAAGTACTGTTACAAGATTGGCAGGTGCCTGTACCTGCACTCACTCTTGCGGGTGAACCGCTAAAGTTGTTGATAAGTTTGTGTACCTGGGTAGTTGTGTGAGTGCTGGCGGAGGGGTGACGGATAAGATTTCCAACCGTATAATGAAGGCTAGGGTGGCATACATCAACTTGAGCCACCTCTGGCGCCGTCGCGACGTTAGCCTGGCTGTCAAAGGTCGGGTATACAATGCTTCGGTGCGGGCTGTCTTGCTCTACGCCTGTGAAAACTGGCCTCTCCGAGCTGAGGATGTGCGGCGACTCTGCGTGTTCGATCACCGCTGTCTCCGTTGGATTGCTTGCCCGTGTTCGATGGCATCATCACGTGAGTAATTCTGAGGTTCGGCGGCGTGTGTTTGAACACATTGGAGATCACCATTCATTGAAAGTCGTCATCTGGAAACCCCGGCTCCGGTGGCTTGGACATGTGCTGCGAATGTCACCCCAGAGGCTTCCGTACAGGTCTCTGTTCGCTAGCCCTGGGACGGGATGGAAAAGGCGGAGAGGTGGTCAGTCCATGACGTGGCGTCGTGGGATGAAGGATTTTTGTGCTAGATTAGCATCGGTTGGTGTGTCACGACTCCCTGGTTGGGGTCCGAGAGATAGCTCAAATCGATGGCTCGAAACGTTATCGGATATGGCCAAGAATCGTAATCAGTGGCGATTGTGTTGCAATTTCCTTCTTTCTTCCCTTCCCGATGATAGCTAACGAACACTGTTTGAACTTGTTAAGCATGAGTGTTTTCCTTCCAGATGAAGTTCTTAATCCGTTCTCTACTTATATATATTTTTTCTTTTCCTTCCTTCCTTTTTTTTGATCTATGTTGTTTTATTATTATTGTGTGGCGCATCTTTCTTGGTGCCATATTGTACCAAGTTTTTATGCGTTTAAATAAATTAAATAAATTTTCCTTATGGGACATAGGGCTTCAACGACACATTTTCGTTTTGTCCTGTTCCCTGTAGTCCTCTTCATCTGACTAGTCCCACGACTGCCCATAGTCTGTGATCTTCTGCTCATACGATCTTCTGCATACCCTTCTTGGACACTGAACTCTCTTCGTTTCTCATTCGCACTCCACTCTAGGGGCGTGGTGCATGATGTCATTCGATGCCCTCCTCAACTTATGTCCGATCCATCTCCATTTTCTTTGGGATATTTGTTGAGCTATGAGTTGTTGGTTGGTTGGTTCCCATAGTTTCTTGTTGGTAATTCCTTCTTACTGGCCATCTGATTTTCCCTATGGATTCAGTGAAAGCACTTGTTGATAAAAGTCTGCAACAGCCTGTTAGCAATGTTCTTCGCGACACCCGACCAGCCATCGACGTCTTTGGTAGGCAGTGTTAGTTGACATAGGATTAGGGTGGAAAAGAGTTAAAGATGGTCAGAAGAAATTCCGGAGTCTCCGACTCTTTATTTGTGCCATTCAAGGAGATGTAGGCTGCGTGACAGGGCTCTTCGAGATAATAGGAACCGACAACTGCAGACTGCTTCTTACATGGCGTAGATTTTTTTATCGTATATCAGAGCTTTGAGGGTTTCCTTTCTTTTCGAAGTTTTCATTACTGGAAGTATCTGTGCTTACACCTAGACTTTATTGGCTATGGTGGCACCATTGCTTTTTGGTTGTCTGAGCTGGAATTATGTGTAGTTAGTTCCTTTCAAGGTTTTTGTAAACAGTAATATTACTTGTCTTTACTACCGTTTTTTTAATCAATAGCATTTCCCCGCTTCGTCTCAGAATTCGGTATCTATTTAGTGAATTCAGGAGTTAACACATATTTTTCCCCTAGTGTTCATGAAGTTTCGTATCTAAAAGCTTGCTACAAACTTTCTCAGTGTGATAGATGTGATAATGGGGACTACACATCTGTTTCCATATGATCGATCGAGCTAGTGGCTTGAAGTTTCTGCTACAGTGTTCATTTTGCAGGATGGGGTTGCTAGCCTCATGCCCAACGTTTCCTCCTTACCAGCATTATTTCTGGCTTAGAGAGGTAAAGGAGTGCGTCGGCCGGAGATCGAATCCCGGACCATGTGCATGGTCAGCGAGCGTCATAACCACTATGCCACCAACGCATGTATTTTGCTTACACTTCTCAAATTAGTGGTCAGTCGCTTCATACATTAATAATAAGCTGAGGAAAGAAAGTCTATCAATGTGGATGTGGAACGGTATCATTTGAGATGGCTAGGATATGTGTTATGCATGCCCAGCTATTGGTTCCGTCGGTTAGCAATGTTAACTGATAAAGAATTCGGGTAGAAGAGAGTTGAGGTTGTCAGACAAAGGCGTTAAGTCTTGGAGCTTGTTTATTTATAGCCAACCAACGGGATGTAGCTTGCTTGGTAAGGGTCCTGAAGATGATTAGAGACTGCTTCTGACATGGGGTGAAGAAGATGTCTTCACTTCTTGTTAACTTTCAAATTCTTAAAATTCTCCTTATCTCCTCCATGTAATTATCCTTTCTGCCTTACAATTGCGTTTATTCTAGTTCTTTTGAATTTCTTTTCTGTATTCTCATGTATATAAGCTGTTATGGAGTTTGACAACTCGAACTTCTGTCATTCTGTTTAAAGTTCAGATTCAGCCTATCAGATTAACATTATGCTTCTAATACATTCTTTTTTTTGGTGTAAGCACTGAGGTAATTGTGTCACAATTGTAGTGATTTTCAGCTTCGACGATTTACTTGACCTACTCTACAATCTGGCGCCTACATAATATCATGTGTATTACCAGTAAAGAAAATCACTGAGGCTTTCCACTGTGCCTTGCTTTTATTAATATGCCCTATTTAATCTTATTTCCTGGATAGTGACTAGCATTGGAATCCAGCATGCTTTTGAAACATGGAACGGCAATCAAACCCCTATCTCAACTTTATACACTTTGAGAAGGCCTTCACCAGAAAGCGTTGACCACGAAGAAATTCTGAAACTACTTGAGTACTACGGCGTACCCCAAATATTCATCAACCTTATTCAACAGCTGTACGACAACAGCACATGTCAAGTCATCCACAACGGAAAACTCAGCAAGGCGTTTGGAATAAACACAGGAGTCAGACAAGGGTGCTTACTATCACCAATGATATTCCTAATTGTGGTGGACTGACTGGATTATGCGTCAGACAGTGGGAAGCGAGAAGACAGGAATATCCCGGACCGACCGACGTGAAGAACCTAGAAGACCTGGATTTCGCGTGTGGATGATTTATGTTTGATGTCACACACAATCGAAGACTTACAAGCGAAAACCGACAAACTGGTCAAAGAAGCAGCCGGCGAAGACAGGATTCCAAGTGAACATAGACAAGACGGAGGTTATGAAAATAACCAACCAACAACAACAGCAGCAACATCTATCGCCAATCACCATCACGAATATTTCCAACAGCCTATTCCAGACCTTTATCAACAACTGTCTTCGCTGGATCTATACTGAAGATCAGATGGCCTGGCCGGAATGAATCACCAACAAGAAACTATGGGAACAAACAAACAAAAAGAACCAATCGCCAACCAACAAATATGCAGGAGAAAATGGAGATGGATTGGACACTCGCTTGCTGAGGAGGCCGCTGGGTGACATCGCGCGCGCGTCAGGCTATTTCTCGAGTGGAACCAGGCCGAAAGGGAAGCGGCGAGTGGGACGTCAGTGCAAGGGTGACATGAAGGAGATCGTGTGAAGAGGAGTTTAAATAGTATGGACTAAGATGGATACAGGTGAAAAGTACAACAGAAGGAAGACAGAAGTGGCAAGTGGAGACGTGCAGTTGAAGCCGTATGTTCCACTATAAACCCAAGGGAATAATAATAATAATTATGCTTTTCAAACAATGGGTGTTAGGTTAGAGTTTCAGTGTTGCAACACCATCATTCATTGTGAATCGCTGGTGTACACCCATCCAGCGAGTCCTAAAGTAGGACGAAATGTGCATCTTCGACCCGGATGCTAGCCACACCATTCACCAAATAATATCTTGTTAACCCTTAAGACATCGTCGAAGCTTTCCTACTACTAGGCTGGGACGGATATGACAATGCACACAGGATATTTCGGTCTACTACGATCAATAATACGAAGTTAACTTAAACAAACAAATGTGCTTTACTAACCTTGAAAATTTCAGAAATGTCAAAAAAAGCGAGAGAAATATTTTTCCTATCTTCCTCATCTTTCTACATACTGTCTTGTCTCTCTCTCTCTCTCTCTATATATATATATATATATATATATATATATATATATATACCCCCTGATATAGCATTTACATTACTTCTCTATTAGTGTTCATCATTATTCTATTATTAGTTGTTGCTACACACAGTGGTGGTTCTATCTATTAGTCCTAATTATGTATTGATTTCTTTTATGATTGATTGGCTTGATTCACTTTGAAATGATGAACCAGGCTTTTATTAAGTTTCATATGTGTTATATAAACAAAAATATAGGCACTTGTATACCTGTGTGTTTGTCTGTGTGTGAGTGAGTGGTTGTTAGCGCTATTTGCCTCATATACTTTTGTGAATGCGCGTATATAATTACCAGCTTGTCAGTTAGTTGGATTTTTATAACATATAGTAGTGGCAGTATTGGTAATCGGCAGTATTCTTCCTTTCCTTTGTGCCTTCTGTGTTGCTGTGTGTATGTGTGTGTATGTACTAAATTAAGTAGGAATTTCTGTTTTTGTATCGAAGGCCGGTTTTTGTCTGTCGCATATTTATTTATAACAGCATATTAGCAGTTTAGTCTACTTTCATTGATATTGGCGAATTTATTGACTAGAAACGCTTAAGTTCACTTATTACAGCTGTTAACTTGACATGAAGTGGTTGGAGGCAATTGGCAACAAAGCCTTTGACCTAAATTTCGTGCTTGTTGGCACTCGTCAGTCAACTTGGCGTATCTTCAGTTTTTGAAGGAACTAATGTCCTCCGTGAGATCCGAGCCTGCATCACTAAGTACTGCAGTCAGAGAAGTTACCACTGTACTATTCTGGTTTACTATTGACCTCCTTTAGGACTGTGATGTATACTACGGCGAACTAAACGCATTTGTCATTAGTGTCTAATAGAATATCGACATGTATGTTATGCGGTCGTAGAGGTAACTGCTGTCAGTCGCAGACAAAAATGTGTATAAAATAACCTTATATCGATTTATTGGTGGTATTATTCCATTGTATTAGACATTCTACCTTCAATAGGATGTGTTATGGATTCTAACTCTACTCCACCCATCAAGTTTTAGGTAACGAATTTCCATTATGGAATTTTCAAAAAAGTGCACTGGTTAACGTTGCCGTACTTCATAAAAGCAGGCATTATAATTAGAGGAGAAAAATTCAAAGAAACTAATGAATAGAAATGTGCGCTGGGCTGAGCATAATCGCATGAAGAGTAATGAAGATTTAATGGATATGGTGTCTCGATGGTTCTGTGTGGTAGAATACTCGTCAACCATGCACTTGTACAGACCGGATCCCCAGCCGACGTACTACTAGAACTCACTTCGTCAGTATTAGGCCTAGTAAAGAGGGGAGGTTAGCAGTCGTGAGGCTAGCAATCACAATCATCGCAACTGAAACCTCAAAGTTAAAACTCTATATTCCCATCAAGATGCAAAGGAATGCATAAACGGATCATTAAGATGGCAAAGATTGCATACGTCTGTGGGACCGGTAACGATTTTGAGTCACATCACCAAAAGTCTCTAATCATTGATTCAAAGCCTCATAATGACTCGTGCTAGATATCCTCTATCTCCCTCACAGTCAACAATTTCTTGAATTGATGACATGTTTTGATTTGACCACCTTTAACTCTTCTCTAACCTAATTCTATGTAAGTTAACATGTCTCGATGTGTTAGACTAAGGTTTGGCCTACGTAACTCGTGTCCTAGGTATCTTCACAAATTCAGGGGATTGACTCTCCTTATCCAATACTCTACGCCTAAACACCTCAGTACTACTTTTGATCAGCTATTTTGGTATGATGGTTTGTGTCCGGCCAATCGCAAATGCATTCATTGATATTCACGTGGTTTTTGAGTAACTAAAAGCACTGACTCAGGTGGTCTGGATATTTCATATTCCTAGGATCCCATGACTTACTGCAGCGTCTTTATTTTGTGAAGTAAACGGAGATGATATTGCAGCAGTTTTCAGAGTGGTAGGCATATCTCAGAGTGTATTCGCTGCTTTAGTAAATTCATGCTGAGAATGATACAGTCAGGTTGTTTCGTCTTTTATTGTTCATTCTTCATTCACATGGGTATTCAGATCAACTTCTGAGTCTATTGAGACTGTGGAGCGTGTTGACCACTTCACTTATGTAGGATGTTGTATCACTCCTAATGAACTGATTGCTTATGCAATCTCAGCACGGATAAAAAAGGCCTTGGTGTGATATCCGGCTATCGATCAGAGAACATGTGTACTGCACAGCTATTCACTCTGTCCTCCTTTATGGCTGTGAGACATTGCCACTGAAAATGGAAGATATGACGAGGCTAACTGTTTTCGACCCCAAGTATCTACCTTCTGTCTCCGTGTTAGGTGGTATAATATGATAAGTAATACTGAAGTTAGGTGAGGATGGTAAGTCAATCGATGGCGTTAAGCTGCATTGTTTGAAATAGCTGGGATACGTGTTACGCATGCTGACCTACCGCCTTCCTGGTCGAGCAATGTTAGTTGACATGAGGCTAAGTTGGGTTGAAAAAGATTTAGAGGTGGTCAGTTCAAAACCTATGAAGTTTCTGACAGTTGGTTTGGACCAACCATTTATGGATGTGTAGACCGATTAGTTGATGTTGTCGAAACACTAACAACCGATGGTTCGAGACTATTGTTGAGATAGCTGGAAACTATTCTCGTTGGTGCAAATGCAATCACATTCTTTCAATTTTCTGTATGTAATTTGTTTTCTCATACTCTTCTACTCATTATGATTTTTCTTAAACTTCTCTTTTTTACTCTACCTTTATGCGCTACATGGAGTGTGATAACTTAAACTGATGTGTTTCTTTGCCAAAATTCTATTTTGAAACTCAGTTTGTCAGCCCGACTTTTATTCATGTATTTGTTTTAAAAAGAATTGAAATGTCCAACCACTGTTTTATTGTATACACTTTGTGGTAAATTTAACTATATATTGATTTCCGGTTACTTGATTTCTTCATTGTTTCTCTTGACATATATATCATGTTTATCTGTTTATTAACTTATTTACAGACACCTTTTGGTGGAATCAATTGTCATGCTGTGAAGAAACTTTTCTCTGAAGGTCATCTTCATCCTACAGCCTTATTACTTTGTCCACATTCAGCTATACAAAATTTACCTCAACCACGTCAACTTAGACCAAGTTTAGTTGGCCCATCGGCTATGATGGTTGGTCAGGTAGTTCAAGGTGTTAGACTTGCTGAAGCTCGTGGAAGACCTATAGGCCCACCGACATCTTCGAATATAACATCTGCATCATCGGATAATGGTGTAAGTTACACATTGTTTGTTTACTATTCTAATATATAACGGTTGATTATTGGGTTCAGTTGTTGGTGTTGTTGTTGTTGAATAGAATCATTTATGCAAGAAAAGCTAAATTTGCGGCATAAAATCATGTCATCTTATTTTGCGGGTTCTCATCAACTGTGGATTGCTTGAAATTACAGTGGTTTTAAAGAGGATGAAAATAACATACTTGAATATGGAGACGATAACATCGCAATAGTTTTAGTTCAAATCATGATCATCAATTTATATACCTCTCAAAGTAGAAAACGACGGGGCAGAATGGGGTGGAGGAAACGTATGGAAACAGAAGATTAGGTTATAAGGTTATTTAACAATTCAAGAAAACGATTCTCTATAAGATTGAAATTATCTCAGTGATCTGAAACTACTAATGTGGATGGCTGTATAATCAATGCGACCTAAACCAGAGTTCAGTCAGTTATCAAGAGATTGAGAAGTTGATCACACTCACTTTCTGTATGCATAAGTTTGTTTGACAAAGTTTAATTCCAATAGCTTTGATAAATCATAGTAAATGAGGTGTCCTTTGCACATTTAATATTCTGAACGACTTCAAAATCTCGACAAAAGTCTTGTATCTTTTTTGGGACGCTGTTTCTCCTTTGTACGGAAGACTAATAAAGACTTTCTGTTCTACTTTTGGGTGTTTCGTTTTATCGATCTTTTCTGTACTACACTTCTAGATGAATTTATAAGAATATCCATTCTCTCTTCTAGGCATTTCTTAACAAAGCCTGATTCTACCTCCAGTTTGTTGGATGAACACAGCGTCCTGGTTCCTCATTAATTCATACTTATAGCTAACAGGACAGAAACTGTTATAGTGAAAATACTGTCCGGTCCAGATTTCTTTTCTATGAATGAAATTTTCAACTGTACCATAGTTTCTTCTCACATTATGATCCAGAAAATAAAATTCTTCATTATTCTATGGTTTATTGAACAGTAAACTGGATCTTATCGAGGTGGTCAAATAGAACAGACGTATGACTCATATCATTTTGACAAATATATCTGCAATAATAGATTGTTTAAGGGATTGCAGAACTTTTAGCCATATTTGTTTTAGGTAACCCGTAAAGATATCGGTCAAAACATGTCTCAGAGTTAAATTCATCGTGACCCTATCAATTTATTTGTAAAATTGTTTGGCAAAAAGCAGTAATCTCTTCATCCAGTTTCTCATAGTGGTAGCAGATCTGTTTGTTTGACAAATTACGTCAGTCAGTCAGTCATTTCCACAACATAAATTTAGCTTTCGTTAAAAAAGGAAAACAACTATTCATTATGCGTTTATTTATCTGGTTGGAAGAAGCGGTACATGTCAGTTATAGAGAAGTGTGGTAGTCTAGAAAGCCGTTTTGTTAGGCTGCTTGAATGACTTCGAGCTGGTTTTTTAGTTGTCTTCAACTAGAAATAACGGTCGTTATCATTGTATGGCTATCTATCCTGCTAGACCTGCGCTTCAACCACTCTAGCTTTTTACTCTATAGCTCAACCCACCTAACCATGGTGACCAGGCTGCTCTTAACACTGTCCCCATTAGTAAGAGGAATATAATACTTACGTCTGTTCAATAGTGCATTTATTAACAAAGAGACTAAAGGGTGACACAGTCACACGACAATGCAGCAACCGCGCTCTTATCCCTGAAAAATCCAATGTGTTTCAATCAGCACAGACACATTGGGTTGAAAAATCATTATTGCAATTGCCTCGCCTCAGCTAGGCCTAGCAACCGAAGACGTACCAACTCGCTAAATGGAGTTGAGTTGGCAACTTGTATAGGATTGTAAAAGCTGAATTTTTATCAATCTTGTGATCCGTATCCACTTGGTGTGACAATGGCATATGATTATAACATTAAAGTTAATTCATCTCATATGTTGAAGATTGCTAAATACATTGTCTTGATGCGTATATACTTTATGAACATTTAATTTAAATGATTCTTGTAATGTAGATTCAAATAATTTGTGATATCTATTTTTGAATTGCCCGAGATACTCTGTCTTTGTTGACGTGATAGCTCATAGTATGAATGCTTTGGCGATACCTTGAGATAAATGTGGTATTATTTCGATGGTAGTGGCTAGCAGGGAGATCTGGGAATGGGGGAGGGTATTCCTCGATTGGATGCACTTGCATCCCTAGTGAGTGATGCTGTTCCCATTCCAAATTCCAACCCAGCACTGATTTTTTGAAATGTCCGCGTTGGCACTAGCGCTAGACTGGAGTGATGTAAACATTAGAAGGTCATTTGGTTGGTTTGGTGCTGAGTTCAACACCGGTTTAGCAGGTTCTATTCAGTTTAGAAAGCTGTGACAAGTCAAACCAACTCGAAACTTTATTCAATCGCTTTGTGCGTCAGCGCCACAGTGGTTAGGACTCTCGCCGACCATGCACGTGGTCCGGGGTTCGATCCCCTGCCGACGCGCACATTTGATATCTATGGTTGGCCTGCAAAATTTGGGCTACCGACATCACATGCTGAAAATTCCATACTTCTACCAAAAAAGTACTGTGTGAAATCAAACTGTAATCAAAAAAAAATAAATGTAGTATATTCTTAATGATTTCATTGGCTATCATTCTGTTACACACTAATCCAATTTTTTCTTCCTTTCTTTGACCATTTTAGTTCGAATTATTAACTGAAATACTTATTCATAGAGCAAATCAAACTCCAGACGATAGATTATTTACTGTGTACAATGTCAAAGGACAAGAAGCTTCAACGCTTACCTGTGTGCAACTATTACGTCGTTCAGAACGATTAGCTGCACAACTAAAAGAGAAGGGTAAAGCGCAAGTTGGAACAATTGTAGCATTACTTTATCCTCCTGGTGAGTTGCAACGAATTTTCAAGATCAACATATATATATATATATATCAATATCATCTATGATATGACTTTCATATCGTGAGAATACTATTTTATTGATTACTAAGGAAATGTAGATTAGCTCAGCGGTACTGTCTCTAACTGCAACACTGCACCGGGTGACATCGGTTCGAATCTCAGAAGGGACATGAGTTCCTTCAAGTTTGCAGATACGCCTTGCTGACTGGTGAGTACCAACCAGGATGAAACCTAGGTTTCTCCAAGGCTTCCTACTGATAGCCTCCAACCGTCTAATATTAACAATCCAAAGCGCACTATAATGACGAGCCACCTAGTGGCATGGTGGTCACATTGCAAACTTGACTGATAGAATTCAGTCTGCACCAAAAAGAGAACTAGACACACTGAACTAGTCACTGACTAGTGTCCAATCAAAATAAATTATCTTTTAGGAGTCTTGTTATTTGTAGAGTGAAATACCATTCATCTACTGCACTTACCTGTTAGTGGTGAGGATTCACACCTATTGCCTTAGTTATGATGATACCAGATGGCTGTTGAAATCTTCGTTAGTAGATTGAGTAGGTTTAGAACTTATGGATGGTACTTATTGGATTGTGCGTCGTCAGATTAGTAGGACGCTTAGCTCATATCAGTCATCCTGTGAATCACGGGTATATTATAGTTCTCAGAAGATATTGAAGTAGGAGCTACAACAGTGTACACAATACCGTACTTTAGAGCACAGATCACAAATGCTAATTCACATGTGTATATTACTCGGTATGTTGGAAATACTATTGCTGATCTCGGAGGTAATGAGGGTGGGGAGGGTTTATTTGCTATTGTGATGTGATATCATGTCGGAATAAACCTAGCAGAAGATTGTAAATTGCCATGCTACCTTTCTTACACGTAAAGAGGTTTCAGTTTCGACATTAAATGGTTCATGTACTTAAGTCTTTTACTTATTTGTTTTGGAATCAAATTCCTCCGTCTTTTATGAAGAACCGAGTAGCTACAGTGTATTACGAGTCGATGTTTGCCTCACAGCATATCAAAAATGTACTACACTACTATGAACAACTAGATTGCATTATATGTGTACTATACTCTCTCTCTGACTGGGAACAGAATCCCCTCTTCTGGTTCTTGACACACATAAACTCATTAGTGGAGGGAATAAAATTCACATTTGAAGAGGAAAAAGAAATAGGAGAATTAGCTATGCTGTTAGATTGTAAAATAAAACGAATAGAAGAAGGTAAACTGCACACTAGTGTGTACAAAAAACCAACTCATTTTAAGAGATATTTTGACTTTAATTCGTCTGTTAAGGCAGGGTTAGTAAAGTGTTTAACAAACCGAGCAGTGGCACTAAGTATCACAAAAAAAGACCTAAATGATGAAATAAAACAGATAGAAGAGGCATTGGTGTTCAATAGCTATCCTATAAAATTCATTAGGAAGATCGAAAAAGGTCAAAAGAAAAAGAAAAATGATTGTGAAACTAAAAAGTTTGAGCATTGTGGATTAGATCAAATTGAGTATAATTATATTTTAATAGTTTACACACAATAACAAAACTTATCATTGTGTGTAAACTATTAAAATATTATTATACTTTATTCGATTGTGAAACTAGTAATAATAACATAAATAAGAGAGAATATAAGTCATCTACAGTTATACCATATAAAGAGGGGACATCTGACACTCTACGTAGGATTCTAAATAAAGCAGGAATTAGAGTGGAATTTAAACCTACAAACTCACTCGGGGACAAGCTCTGTAGGTTAAAGGACCCGGTGGATCCAATTAAACGAAATAATAAAATTTACAAAATACCCTGGAATGACTGTGAATGAGGTCAACTACATAGGTCAAACTAGTAGGTCAGGGGTAGTCAGATTGTCAGGACATAAGAATTTATCCAAGGTAAGAATGGTTGACCCGGAGAAGATAAGTAATTTAGAAAAAAGCATGCATGCATTAACAAAAAACCACACAATAGGGTGGGATAGGGTTAGAATTCTAAGAAGTAATCTATGTAGATGGAGAGAGAGGTTGATTACTGAATCCTTGTTCATCGAGTTTACACCAAACACATGCAATAGGAATGATTCATCACTCACCCAAAATATGTAGAATCCCCTCTTACTCATTTGAGTTGAATATCCTGGTTAAATTGAAATAACAAAAGCTAAAGGTGATAGCTGAATACTTAAAGGGAAAATAACTGGAACTAATGAAAAGGAGTTACTCTTGAATACTACTCATGATTCTTATGTTTGTGTCAAAGGTTATCGAAGTGACAAGGAACTAACTTCTAATGCTAGAAGGATGGATTGTTTTGTTGTTGACTAAAGATGCCTATTAAAAATTTCAAAAGACTGATGAGTCCCCAATGAATGCTCTTTTTCGAGAATTATCATTGTGACTTATAACATTAATGTTTTACTTACTTACTTTACTTCGGCTATCTCCTACGGGAGGATGAGCCGGCTTCATGAACGTCTCGAGTCATCGCTGCCCAGGCGCGGCAATTTGTAAGAGAGTTCATGAAGTTTCATGGGAATTTGGTACGAGTGATTTCCCCAGAATCGCTCGGCCTTTTGTTTGAGAGTGCAGCTCTAGCCTTTACACAACCAAGTGTGACCTACAAGGCAGTAGGAGTGGAGTAAGGAGTCCACTATCCATTGGCAGCCGATGACCGGAGTTCGGTTCATACGCCTTTTTGAATGGGGCCAGACACCCAGGACATCCAACAAGCCCTTTGTCCATACGTCTGCCGGTGAGCTCCAGTGAGCTTCATACGCCAATCGTTGCAGGTTTGGAATCAGGGTTTAGCCATCTCCCCTAGACTGTCATCCAATGGACAGTCATGTTAATGTTTTGGATAATATTGAATTAGTAATGTCGATAGATCATAGTTCGAAAACTTCTGTGAGTGACAGTTGACGTCAATGTACCACTAAAAGTGATATAACTAAACAAAACTAATACAGAATTTATAGATTTGTAGGTTTCATAGATTGCGTCAGTGGCATAGCGATTAGGACGCTCGCCGACCATGCACATGATCCGGGGTTCGATCCCCGGTCGACGCACTCCTTTACCTCGCTAAGCCAGTAATAAAGTTGGTAAAGAGAGAAGGTTGGGTGTGAGGCTAGCAACCCCATCCTGTAAAAGAATAAACACTGCTACAGAAACTTCAAGCCTGTAGCTTGAAGCCCTATGTTCCACTTGGAATGTGAAGGGAAAAAAACAGATTGCCAGGGTAGAACATACTGACTGGATCTATTTCTTATGTTCGTAAAGCTACGGTTGTTTTAAGCCAATTCCAAAGGCCTCTGGAGATCTATTTGGTTACCCGTTTGGATGACAGTAAAAGATTCTTCAATGATAGCTCTATGGCCTCTTTAGATAAGTGGATCTTATATCGGCATGTCAGCGATTTTTACTACACCTTTACTTAACCCACACTGGTTAGTGTTACCCAGTAGGTATAACTAATTTTCTAAAGGATCAGCCATTACAGAAGTGTCAGATGGTTATTGTACAGTTGGAAGCGTTAACTAGGATTAAAATTATAACATGAGACAAAAGTTTAAGCTTACAGTTAATTTCATATTTGACATTTTAAACTCTATTTACGCATCATCTTGATCTTTTTCATATGTCTATGTTCAGTAAACTGTTTCTTCTTATAAAGCTTACCAGAGAATATTTTCAATTTCTTCTTATAACTTTTAAACTAAAGGTACCGAACTGATTTGTGCATTTTATGCATGTCTTCTAATCGGTGCAATTCCTGTGCCTGTTCGTCCACCTCGAATCGATTCATGTCCTCCTAATTCCAGTGGTGGTACAAGTGGTTCTGGTCCAATTGGTTTATTATCTGGTCCACCTGGATCAGGATCAACACCTGGACTAAGTTTACTAGGCTTAGGAGGTGGAAGTCCTGGAGGCGGTGGCGGCGGCTTCAACGGGCATTCAGCTGTTGGCGGCAGTGCTGGTCAGCTGTCCACTGGTACTACAGGCAGCTTTCCTAATGTGTATTTTCGTCCAAATGCGCCTAGTTTAGATACTTCATTGGATTTAGTGTGGAATGTTGTCAAGCATTCTGGAGCTTCAGTTATTTTTACGCAGACAAGTCTGTTCAAATTATTGAAATCTAAGGTTAGTAGAATGGGGGTTGTATCTTATTGTTTTCCTGTTTTTACTCGTATTTTTGAATGCTGCCTTGTTTTATTTTCTAAATTTCTACTTCTCTTCTGGGGAGGTATCATTGTACTAATATCATTATTTTGGTAATCCGAATTCAAGGGAGGAACATCCGCTGTCTTTTGGAAATCCTGTATAAAACAGGTGATAAAGGTTAATAAAGCAGGATAATTTAATGAATTCATCAAATTTCAGTAGAACTCTACATACACGGATATATATACTTTTGAAATTACATTGGGAGATATGACTGATAAGTCATGCAGAAAAACAGGTGCTAGTGTTTTCCAGGTCATGTTCAAATAGATAAGGCGAGAGAGAGTATGAGAGATCGAAATTAAGATAAATTGCATTACGCTTCAATTACATCACTTAGATAAACAATTAGTCATTAGGGAATATAACGAGAATTGCAAACAGACTAATATCAATAGTAATAGTTATAATAACAATTATTATAATAGTAGTGTTGAAGTGAGTTAAGATAATGCTACTGGTAAAGGATAGTTTTAAATGAATCAAGAATAATAATAATGACAATAATAATAAAGAAGAGGTAGACTAATAGTATAAACAAGTAGAGAATAATAAGTAAAACATATTACCGTGGTAGATTCAGAGTCACGACCATCTCCTTTTGTACACAGAGACCTGGTGTATAAACTCGGATTGCACAAGCCTCTGCAATTGCAATCATCTTCTGGTTTCTTTGTCTGCTGACAATAGTGAATGACTTGACAGCGTTGATATCATGTCCATAGTCCACAAGATGTTTTGTTATTGAGGATTTTGGCACTTTGCACTTAGCCGTTTTCGACCATATTGGCAAATTCTCCATCATGCGAGTAGACAATCGCCTTTCCGTACGACCTATGTATTGCTTCCGCAAACACACTCAAATCTTGTATACTCTCCTAAAACAACACTTTTGGTGATTTCTTTGAATTCTTTTGTTAACTACAGTAGACTTTTTCATCTCTTAAATTCACCAGTCACTTTCAATGAATAGTTTAGTTGATTTTCTTCATCTTGAGTGTTATTTCAATATTTTTTTAAAGTATTAAACAGAAGAAAGATGACCCTAACACATATTACTGTTCATAATAACCGTGTTGAAAAATGCATTTACAGAGCTGCACTACTCAGTGTCAGAAACGTTTATAAACCTTATTCAGCGACTATATTATGATATCAACTACTAACGGAAAGCTCACTGAACCGTTTGAGCTGAAGATAATAGTAAGATAAGACTGCTCGCTATTGCTAATGGTCTTCTAATTGTGGTTGAGTGGATCATGCAACAGACCGTGACAATATAAGAAGCTGGGTATACGTTGAATGGACAATAGGCCCCTTGAAAACCTGGATTTCTGAGATTGTTAAGATCTCATGTTTGATTGCATGGAGGATTTCATCACAAGCTGACATTATTTAGAGAACCACTGGAAAACCTGAGAGTACTGGACAGCTGTTTCGTCCTAGTTTGGGACACTTCAGCAGTACGCGCCTACCAACGGGGTTCGAAACCAGGACCTTCTGGTTACAAGGCGAACTCGTAGACCATTGAGCCAATAGTCCTTGAATTCTAACTTCTGCTAATTCACGACATAGCGTGACTATTTCACAATGTCTTCTACAATGAGTTACTGCCTCATCTTTAACCTGCTGCAACCTACTGCTCACGGCTTCTCAATATTTAAATATCTGATGTCTCTCAAAGTGAAAAATATAAAGGTGAAAATTAACGAGCTGATAAACGAAGTAGAGAAAACAGAGCTTCAAGTGAACGTAGAGAAGGCAGTGGTGATGAAGATAGCTAACCAGCAACGACAAACAACAACAGTCGTTATCAAAGAGATAAATCTAAGGGAGGTTGTATCTTTCACTTACCTAACCTGGGGAACACAGCTGCAAATATAGACGTCAGCTGGAAATGAAGAACAGACAATCATTACTTTTAATACTAGTGTCAAGTCAGACAGCGCTTCCATGCATTTCGGAGACTTGACAAATCACTGAAGGCATTTTCAAAAAAGCTACTGCAGACTTTAAATCAAAAATTGTCTTGAATCCATGCTGATGGCCAGATGGCGAGTCAGGAAGAAAAAGCAACATTAGAACTATGGTAGTGTAGTGAAGTAACGAAGAAGCTACTGTTTAACAAATATGCAGCAATAAATGATCAGGGATAGAACATATGGCGAAGACATTGTTGAGTAACATCACACAGTAGACAGACCGTCAAGTGAAACACAAATGGCAAACGGCAAGTTGTGCGTGGACCCAAGGTTGACATGGAGGTGATGATGTGAAGAGGCAATGTAAGCTTACGGACATTCGTGGAGCTAGTCGAAAGTGATGACAGAGAACAGAGTGGAACGGTTATGTGCTTGTGAAGCTCGGTGGGCAGCCAATGAATAATAATTAGAATAGTATCACTTAATCTAAGTTCGTAGTTTTTATGGGTCATAATATATTTCTTGATCGACAGAATTTGTTGATCGCCGAAAGTTGAATAAAAACACAAGAATCTTTGTTTTCTGTCTTTGCTCTAAACGCTAAACTTAATTCTTTCACAATGACATAATTAGTGAAATGTTTCCCTCAGATGACCAGCATACCAGCCATGTTGCCTTTCCACTCTGGAGAGGTGGAGGGTGGGTTGGTTAGAAAGGGTTGACCCTGAAAAATGTACATCCCAGCTTACCTTGGACATGTATTGCTCAATCCGAACCATCACCTTCCTCCACGAACGGTGTTAACCGACATACGTTTAGGTAGGAAAAAAATTAGGAGTCCATAGACTCTCTGACAGCTGGTTTGAACCAAACATGAAGGGAAGTGTAGACTATTTGTCTGGCGTCCTTCAGATGCTAAGGATTAATAGCTTGAGACTATTGGTGATATTGCTGAAAGCCTTTATCGATTGCGCAAATGCATTCATTCTCTGTAATCCCCTATATCCTTTAAACTGTAATTTTTTTCCGTGTTTCCATTCTTCCCTTTCGTTATATCTGCTTATTATTTTTTATCTAATATTTTTATCGCTTTCGTCTAATTTTGCCTGCTAATTGGAGTGTGGCGACTTGAAGTACTGCCTTTCTGTGCAACTATCCATGTTGAAATTCAGTCATTCCGTCTATCGATCTATCAGATATTATTATTAGTACCCTACTGTTAAAGGAGGTAGGTAGCTTTTTTCTATCCGGTAGGTGGTCAATTGATTATCTGACTACACTTTAAGGTAATCGAACGTTTTATGTATATAATGACGGTGTATGGCAGGATCTCTGATAACATATGCTAACACGATATAGAGTGTATTTCTTAAAACAGTTTTTTTATGCCGAAATTGATAAGACCTCCTTTCCTACGATGTCCTTCATTTTATTGATTAATCCAAAGGGTAACTTTTTTGTTTTCTAGATTTAATTGATTTTTTTAAAAGGGAAACATCACCCCCCTTTTTGCTTATTTTACCTCTTGTTGTTGTTGTTGTTGTTTATTTCCTTCCCTTTCCTGTAACAATTTCAGGAAGCTGTCAATCGCATACCGTTCAGTCATTGGCCAACAATACTTGATTCTGAAGAATATAGTCGTCGGAAATCCACCGTGTCACAGCTGCAACCATGTTTAGAACAACCAGTTGCCTATTTAGATTTCGCTGCATCGACCACAGGTAGGCGCGCACACTTGTCTCTGTATGTGTATGTGTGCTTGTTTTATGCGCGCTGCTTGATATGCTTTCATGTCATTCTCTATATCAGCTAAAATTACACATCGTGTTTAGAAAATTGGAAAATTATTAGGTGGAAGTGAATAAACCACAATTTTAAGTGTATGTCTGGTATGCTGTATGAAGTACTTTGATAAGAGATAGAACACTGTGCATGATGTGTGATTTTTTCCGCTGTTTTCAACGAGGACTGTTGGTTGAAAGAAATAATCGGTTATTTTGTTTGCTTATGCGTTTTCATGTCAGTGTTCTTTCTAAAAATACCACTTGAAATTCAAGCTACTCTAATTCCATTGAAATAAATTACCGGAAGCAATTTAACCCAGAATTTTTTCCCCTCCTTATTAAAGTATTAGTCACTTATTATTGTCTGATATAATTTAAAGTAGTAAGTATACTAGGGCTCTGCGGGTGTTTGGGCATAGTATAGAGATTAAATCAAGACACAAGCTAAGACGGTGACTCTAAAGAATAGCGGCCCAAACCGAAACGACCTTTTAACGCAAAAATGACCTTGACAGGGACAACTTCGACCAATGAGAAGGCTCAAAATGAAAGGCGCATAATTGTAAAAAACGGTTTATATATAAGTAATGCAGTCATAATAAATAGTTACAAAGGATAACGTTCGCGTATATGTTGCAAAAAAACCTCCCAGTTTCTCATAGGAGTCTTCATTGTCATATTAAACCAGTTTCTATACATAAATTCATCTAGATAACTGTAAATCATTGGATTTCTTGATCCATTAACAGCTCTTATCCGTCTTTTCAGACGACTCCATAAACTTTCGATGGAATTAGTGTGCGTTCCATCCACAGGATTCCTGAAACCCTCCGTGTGATTGACGACATGATGAATATACCCATGATTGGATAATTGACGGTAGGCACTCCATTCATCTGTGTGAATAGTCGTCCCAGGCAGCACCAAACGCTGAATAATAGGCGATAATACACCTGCACTGCGATTTGGAATCGCCTCTATATACCCTTTTCGTAGTGTTGTGTCGTATGTACCCAATATCCACTGCTGGTTGGATTATAATCTCCCCCGGTTATATTTCCTTTTCATCAATACAGTTTCATCAATATGTACGATTACACCGACTCCTCCAAGAACTTGAGTCAGACTGTTCATTTTCCACGAGGAAACATCTCTGCAGTAATTGTACCACTGCACTGCCGACACCTCTGAATTTTCTGTTTCGTAAGCCGTAGCTGTAACTGGTCTTTTGAGGACCCAGAAGTTACATATCATTAAGATTTTCGTTAACGGTAGTTTAGACCTAGAGAAAAAAGTTCCTAAGGGATCTGTAAACTAAAAAACAACGACAAACCATCTCGAACCGATTTCCTCCTTCGGCACTCAATACATCTGTATACAAAGCCATCGATGGCCTCTGCTTATATTTGTATATGCATAACTCCTCCGCACTGGCAAATTTTCGACAAAGCTATGAGTCCGTTATCCAAACAGTAATCGAAAACATCCATGATTACTTCCGAAAATGATACAGTCAGCTGATTCCTTGCTCAAGGTCACTTTTTTGTTCGAAGGTCGTTTCGGTTTGGGCCGCTATTCTTTAGAGTCACCGCTAAGACCAATTCTGGATACCTAAAAGGCGCGAACCTACCAATGCTGTAAGAATGAGCAGTCACATTAAGAAGTTAATGTGGTCTCCCAATCTGTTCGTTAAGCTAACCTCTAGAACTAACCAGATATCTTGTTTTTGACATCATTACACTTTACTCAATGCTTCTTTCCCGTGAATATGATGTTATTTACTCGGCTTCTCTGCCTTAGTGTGATTGAGTTATCGGTGGCATAGCGGTTAGGACGCTCGCCGACCATGCACATGGTCTGGGGTTGGATCTCCGGTCAGCGCTTTCCTTTACCTCACTCAGCCAGAGGTAAAGCTGGTGAAGAGGAAAGGTTGGGCATGAGGGTAGCAACCCCATCCTGTAAAAATAAACACTGCTACAGAAACTTCAAGCCTGTAGCTTGAAGCCCACTGTTCCATCGGGAACGTGAAGGAAAAAAAAAGTTATCAGTGTGTTCACGCCTTTTGGGTGCCTGAAGTTTAATTTTTCACCCTACTGCTTGCTAACTAATATGAAAAATTTTAACAGCTGTTCAGAATTCAAATAATTTCTTTTGATGTTGTTGGTGTGTGTTATCCGAACTGAATAGTTTAGCTACGAAACTTCATGGTTCTGTTTTAATACTTACTGTCTTTTCCTCTGTCGCATAAGGCTTATTTACTGCTTTCATGTGACAACTGGTATTTCTCACAAACGTAAAAAGGTGAGTGAAACACCTAGTGCTTGGAACAAGCTGGTGGACATGCAGGTCTATCTAGAGGTGCCGGAAAACCCTGATTCTAAACCTACGGTTTATACCGGCACCAGAATCCGAAAGGATCTAATAGAGTATGAAGTCGTTTCGGACACTGGCAACCATGGGAACGTAGCTCCTGAAGTTGCTCCAGTGCATTATGGTGTCCATTGGTGTCCAGACAGCATCCCAACCCGTCGTACAAACGATGAGATTTTGTGTAGCTCATCTTTTGGTGCTCAAAATGTACCAAGTTTGTACTTTAATAAATAATAATAATAATGTGAATAAATGGATGAGAAAGTCTCCGAGAACAATTACTGAAAGAAAGAGTGAGAAACAATGAAAAATTTTCATTTGAACTACAAATCTTTAATACTTTTAATCAAAGTGTGCTTGAGTATTCCTGGTTCCCGTAACGAAAAAAGGCCTAACCATAATTTGAATAGGTTGTCATGTTCTTTGGTGAATCTTTGTGAACGAATCAGATGTCGAACGAACAAACGAAATATAATTTTTCAATGTCTACATTCCTTTTGATTTAGTTAGGGAGTAGTATATACGCTTTTGATAAAGCATGTTACATTACGGTGAATTATAGTATAATTGTGCGTCCGTAGTTCACTGGTAAAATGATCGCCAACCACGCGTGTGTTATACGGATTTCTAATCCCGACCGACTTACTCCTAAACCCCAGATAGTTTACTAGCCGATAGTGAGTCTAGGAAAAAGGGAAGGTTGAGTGTGAGGTTTGCGACCCCTCCGTGTTAAGAACCAGAGCACTGCAACTGGAACTTTAAGGCTGAAATCCCATAGATTCCACTTGAAATACAAAGGAACGAGAAAAACATACACTAAAATTAGAGATACTAATGTGATCACACCCAAGTTGTTGTATGTAGGAAAATTGAATGGAGAATTTCATCATGAGGTGACATTTGTTAGAGAACCATCGGAGCACCTGAGAGTACTAGATAGCTGTTTCATCCTAGTTTGAGACTCTTCAGCAGTACACACCTACCTGCCCGCCTCGAACCTAGGAACTTCTGGTTACAAGGCTAGCGAGCTCGTAGACCATTAAGCCACTGGGACCCGATCCAGTGGCCATGAATTCTAACTTCTGCCAATCACGATATAGCTCAACCGCTAGCCAATGTCTTCGGTGAGTATTTGTCCTCACACCCTACCTGCTGCACCCTACTGGTCACGACTTCCCAGTAGAGCCCAAGTAACTAGCTACCTGAATGGGACCAGTCCCAGACTAGGACGAAACAGCTTTCCAGTACTCCCGGGTTTTCTGATGGTTCTCTTACCAATGTCAGCTCTTTATGAAATCCTGTAACCAATCAATCAAATCCCTACAAACCAATACCTGAATTCTAACAATTATTACTTACCATCCACATGGTAAATCATGCTTGTCGTTAGTTAACGTGGCTGTTGTTTCTTCTCATTCTTTGTGTTCCTACTGGAATATGGAGCTTCAAGCTTTGAGGTTTTATTAGCGTTGATGTTGCTTTTATTTTTGTGTCAGCTTTGCTAGCCTCATGCGTAACCTCTCCTCTTTTGTGGGCTTACTGTTGGCTGGTAAACGATATATCAGCTAGGAGAGTGTCGACTGAGACTCGAACCCGGATTATGTGTGTGACTAGTAAACATTCCACTGTTGTGTCAAATGACAAAAAATTTGGTAACGTTGTTATCTATTAGTAACTTGATTTATAGATATGGGCAAAATATGTGTACGATATGTTCGAATCACAATTTACACACTATGTCTCCCCCATTGTGCTACTTTTGTCTTCCATATTGTACTTCTTTGTCTTTTTCCATGTTTTCTGTGTTGTTTCAGAAGAATCGTTCACTTCTTCTGTTCTCTATTTGATATCTTTGCGATATTTATATCTGTATATGTATACTACTTATAAATCTTATCAGTAGCACTCCCACACTGAAAGCTAGGTGGTTTGTCGACAACATCGACTGACCATGAACTGAACGGTTACGTGATGTGTTTCTTTTCCGTAAATATTATTATTTGACCATTTTTATTGTCCTTGAGAGAGAAATGACGATAATAATAATAATAATGCTGATAACGCCTTAACAACATAGTCACTTGATCATTACGTTTCCATTTAGTATTCTTATTTCACGAATTGTTATTAATTATAACACGTAATGCGTGATGTAGTTTTTAATGAGCAATAAATTTCATGAACTGGTTCGATTGATTTTGAAGTCATTTGCATTTTCAATTCTTCAATATACAGCCAATTATGGCTGGCTGGTTAGTTACCTCTGTATTTGTTTATCCCTCCCTCTGGTTGTGTCCCAGACAGTATCTTTTAGTTGGCTTCTCTATTATCCATAAACCTTTATTTCTTCCTGCGTGTTGCCCTCGGCCTAATACCCACCTCATCGTTCCTTAATCGAGTTCCACTTGAGTTCTTGCTTAGCGCGCCATGTCACTCAACAGTCTTTTTAACAGAGTATGTCCAATCCACTTGCATAAAAAGGTGGGCAATAGGCTCGTGACTGGTTCACTGCAATACCAGAGCTCTTTGTTACTAATCCCTTCTGGCCATCTGACATACAGTATCGA